TTTTAAATCAATTCCAGATTGGATATTCGATCCTTTCTCTTTTGAAGTTGTGGATAAGCTCACTTCCTCTTTGTAGACTGAGATTTTAGATTTGAAGTATGACTGTGAGGCAAAAGTTGTCTTTAAAAAATGCGGTTACGAGTTAGCTTGGATATAGGTTATGGGCACTTTTTCACAATTGTGGAAACAAACTGAGCCGCTTCTCATCTCGTTCCCGTCAACATAAATATTTAGTGGAGAGAGGATTTAGTTCTATCTTCCAGCTGCTCACAAAGCAAAGAGATAGGTTGGACATTTACTTCAAAGGATACCCGCGTTTAAATCTGACGAGCATAAAACCTGACATCCAAGCTTTAACTTGAAATACACCAAGCACAGGGCAGTCATTGAAGTGGTAAAAATTTACTTTCTCCCTCTTCATTTTTTTTCTCAAATTTTCTCAAATCTCTCTCAATTCTTGATTACATTAAGATATGAATTTAAAAAAATGTACTTTTGCTTTGATTATTCCGTTTTAAATATCATTTCTTTTTGAAAAGAAAAAGATGCACAACTTTTTTTAATTAATAAAAATGACAGGATAAATGTGCCTCCTTATTTGCATTACAATTTAAATTAAAACCAAATAACATAGCATATTTTCAGTGTTTGGTTGCTCACAAGCAACAATGAATGATTTTTTGAGCAAAAAGAGAAAGGGGCGATATGTGTCAGCCAACCCTAAGAGGGGGGCGATGGTCCACAAAAGGTTGGGAACCACTGGTATAAACCAAAAGCGTGTTATAAAATGTAAGAAAAATAAAACTATAATATCAGAAGTTTTCAAGAAAATTCATTCTATACCCAAAATCTTCCAAAGCAATTTGGTTGTTTTGAATACACTCGAGCAAATAATAATTCAAAATGTATTCTAGATAAATAAACCCTATACAATATTAAAATATACAAATATTTATGTAAATCATACAGATTCAACAAAAAAAAAATTTCGTCATATTTAAATATAAATATGTAGTACCTACTTATCATTATTTAAAAATGTTTTCCAGATAAATTTATCACAAGTAAAACTAAATAGTACAATTATAAATAATAGTAATATAATATATTAAATTAATCAACACTATTTAAAATTCAACACTTTAAATATAAATGTGTAATTACTCTATATAAAAATTATTTTTATTACATAATAATATTTATTAAATTTATAATGCACAAAAATATTTAATAAAAGTATTACTATGTAAATAAACCACTTTACCTGTTTGATTCGAAAATAAAATTTAGGAAGGCTATTATAAGCTCAAATTGTAACACTTTTTACAGAGTGCGTGATTTGGCTAGATTTATGCAACTCTTAATTTATAAATTGATTTTCCATTGAATTAGAAAATCCTTCATTCGAAAAAAAATCGTTTTCTTAACTTTCATTTAAAAGTAAATATTAACCATATTATTCTTTATTCGCTACGAATACAAAAGCCTTTTCAGCAACCTAAATAAGTTAATATAAAGCATAACTTAAATTTGTCCTAAGTAACGAAAATGATTCAGGATACAATTTAATTTTAAGGTTATGAGTTTGTTTGCATAACACCATATTTTTAAACTAATTGTAAAACCCATGCTTTAAAATCATCATAACAATCGCCACATAAAATTGAAAATCTTGTTTTGGTTTAATATTCTGAAAAAACAGAAACAACCCAATTAAATAGTCTCTCATTTCAGTTTCAATAATTGATACCATAAGTGATCTAAAAAGCTGTATAGTTTGAAACTAATACGTAATTATACATGCAATTTGAATTTATTGAAATATTTCTCCAGTGAAAATTAACTTTCTTAAAACTGAATTGATATGTGTTTGGAACTCTCCAAGCAATCAATGTGAATGCTATGAAAACCAATGTGGATGTTGTGTAAAACAAATGAATGTAGTCTAGAGAAAACTTACTAGTCGATACTTATACGGAATTTTTCTTTTATATTTTTTTAGACGGAAAAGTTTTCCATTTTTCTTCGGATTTCCTTCTCTGTTGAGACAATTATATTCAGCACATGATTTAAAAATAGTACTGATACAGATTACCAATTATTAATTAAAACAAATTAATTTAACGCTCACAGTAACGATTCTGCCTGCAACTGAAATTTATATTAAACAGTATATGATTAAAAAGCGTCTTATTGCTATTGGTAACTGCGTGACCCCATCTCTTCTCTGAATCGATCGCCACAGAGTGGAGTTTATATAGAAGTTGCTGATATTCGATTGTTTTGTGCTATATTGAATTTTAGTGCCAATTATTACAGTGGCAAGTTTTTAAAAAAATTAACTACATTGCTGTAGAAATCTGTAACATAAGAAAAAAACAATAAACTTCTACAAACAATTCAATTTTATAATAGCACAAAATTTGGGGTGTTTACATGAAAAGTCAAAGGTAGGGAAAAGGCTAAAAATACAGAAATTGGGTTTATTCAGTTTTAAAGTTTAGAATAATGATATCAGAACTTACACAAAACGTGTAAATAAGTATTCAAAAATGCCCTAAAACTATCAAAATAAGAACGGACTTTTGTGATTTGCTAAAATACTACTAATGCTCGGATAACAAACTAATGTTACGAATAAAAATTGGAAGCAATTCAAGTATCTGCTAATTTATGCCGTCTTTTACAAATTAAAAAAGAAAAAGTCGACTTTAAAATACTATACAAACGACAAGACTTATCAATTGAACAGACAGAGAAATTCAAGGGATTAGAATTACACAAATGTGGCAGTTGAATTTAAACCGGATGTTATAAGGAATTAGAAATTTTTCATTTAGTTTATAACACTTTTTGATCAGATTATATAATACCGCTCACTCTTGTGCTTTTTTTTTGCATGGTTTTAAAATTCAAGCATTTTTAATTTTACATCTTTCAACATCAGTTTAATTCTTTTAAGTTAATATTATTTTATAATTAATATTTTTCATTCGGTCGACTTTAAGCTAGATTAAATGGAATCGAACATCAATCAACTTAAAATGTAAAAAATATATAAAAATATTTTTTGGTGAGAGAAACACTTAAATTATTACAGTGGTTGTCGATAAAATAAAACAAAAATGCTTTTTAGTTATAGTGCCCAACAGTCGAAGAAGATATCTTTTTACTTCTTCGGGCAAGCCATAATGTCTTATCTTATAAAATCGACCCATTTTGCTTCCACTCACTGTATTTTAAAATGATGAAACATTGAATTTAAATTAAACTCTTAAAAAAAAAGAAGCAGCAACTAATCTTTTATTATATTTCCGTCTTGAAGAATATATACGAAGCTGTTGAAGAAAATCGATACTTTTCATTTCTTTTGTATTGATATCACCTCTCTCAAACATCATAGCAACGGAACAGTTCCTCTCACCTTAGCAACCGAAATTAAAACTAATCTGGAACATCACGCATGCGCACACTGTTTTCAACTTACTTCTAATTTAAACGGATCTCTTCAATCAGTCCAACAACGAAACCTTGCAATTCCAATTCATATTTTTAAAGTTTTTCGGTTCGAAATATATTAATAAAAGGAATGTCTGCCAGCTTTTCAAGATTTCGCACTCCGGGATTTCCTCATTCCAAGTTCCTTCAGCATTCGGATCATGACTGGAAATTCAATAATCTGTTTCAATACAACTTGGCGGACGGAGATTGTACCAAGTCGGAAGCTGTCGTTGCCGAAAGTCAAAGACTCTGCCGAGAGACGAGTGAGAGGACAGAAAAACAAAAAACGCAAGTGGAGAGAAAGTTCGACGAGCGCATAGCAGATGTTGATCACTGGCGACAAGAAGGAAACAGATGCTGCGCCAAGCTGCAGGAGGCTCTGGACAAGTTGGCACACTTGAAGCTGAGATTGACACAGGCGTCAGATGCTTGCAGGGATCCAATATTGGCGTGCAAAAAGACGACGATGGAGCGTGACAAGAGGCTTGGGACGGACATGGTGCAGGATAAACCACAACAAGAGATCCAGAAATATCTACTCTACTTGGAAGAAGTGGTCGGGGTCTTCGAGAAGACCATTCAGGAGATTGAAGACCAGATGATCAGCGACAGGGCCGCCAAGCAGAGGCTGTTGCGCGATGTGGCGGATAAGCAGGCCGCTCTTGAGATCGACGCACACGCATCCAGCTGCAGACCAGAAAACACTATCACCAAAGATTTCAAATTCGATCCCCATCTTATGAATCCAGAAAAGTCGGCGGTAACAATGGCCGAATGGGAGCGTAATACGCGCCACAACATAGAAAAAGCAGAGCAAGCAGTTAAAAATTCAAGGACTATCTACCCGAGAGTAGAGGTAATGTAACATTTTATTTTTTATTTACTTACTTGAATAAATGAATGCACTTTAGAAATATATAAAATTGATATTGTACAGTCGATACTATTTAAATGAATTAGAGATATTATTTAGTGGAAACAAATTATTTGACATGAAAACGATGATAACTTACAGCTTTTGATAAGTCTATTTTTTGTCGTAATAATACACCACTTAATTGGATAGAGAGGAGACATTGAAATTAAAAATTTGCCTCAGTACATGAAATTTGTCACTAATTAATTCGAATTTAATTTTGTGAAAATAAGAATACCAAACGTGGCCATCCGAATAGAGACACCTGTTTTCGCTAAAGACAAGTGTCACGTGGTGGACAAACAAATTCCTTCCAAAAAATTAATGAAAAGTTTAATTCAAAATAAACAACGCGTCAATCTATCCGATTGCTTCGAAAGTGGCGATAATTTTTATTATTATCAAGGGAAAAAAAACAGAAAATATTCAAGCAAACATTTGTCAAAACAATCCTCTGAAGTTTGAAAATAAATAAAATATTTATAAATATACTTTTTAGAACTTTTTATTTGTTTTTAAATTTAAATGGCTACATATTTAATGGTGCGACACTAACAGCTCGAATTATGATTCTTAAAAGAGAGTATGCAAGTCAATTTTGTAATTGATTAAAAATGCTACAACATACACCATTTTATTTATCATTGTTTTGGTAGAATTCATTAGCATACATTGCTTATTTTGAAAATCTTCCTTATGTATTTGCAGTTCCGTAAGGTTTTCATAAGGCCTGAATTTTCTGCGAAAAGGTTACATAAAATAACCAGGCTCTGAAAAAAGATTCTTCTGATATAGTAAATCGTTACCGAGTTGAACTCAGTCGCATTTTAGAATGATGTAAAATTTTAGATAGATATATTTTAAAATCTCATCATCGAAATCCACCCAAACTATATTTGTTTTAAAATAGTACGCTTGACTTAGATTACTGTCAGAAAAAATTAATCAACATATTTCAGGGATGACTCCAAAACCGTTAAGTTAGCATCTACATTCAAATTATTTGATCTAAAAATTTTTTTCATTGTTGGTTTGCTTTATTATGTGTTTGACTTTAATCATAACTTTTAGGCAGCATTAATGAATAACTTTAGTCATTTTATACTTTTTTCTTCGTCACACTGACAAACTATTACATTCTATTAAAGCTGTTTTTTTTTCTTTCCATTTTTTGTTGTGTGTTTGATCAATGAATTTATTAAACACTTAGTTATTCATAACATTTATTTGTCTTAAATCTATGCTATAGATTTGTATCGCTATGATAACCGACTATGAATGATTCTTGGTAGACAGAGAACGAATGAAGATAAAACGGACGGGGGAAAAAGGAAGCAAGAATTAATTAACTGTTGAATTAATCGAACGAGAAAAATAACTCTTTTTGAATCAACGCATTTTTTAAAAATTAATAATAAAATTTTAGCTTCCAAAAAATGGATTGGAAATCTGCCCCTCCTAATAAGTTTATCTAGGATAACTGTTAAAAAATTAAGAACCCGTAAGGCTATTTTTTAAACATCTTGACTTATCAAAAGAATTTTTGTTACAAATAGCAGCTATCTTCAAACAAAATGGTAAAGCACTTGCTAATTCGCATATAAGAAATGAAAAACTGAGCTACGTATGAAATTCTTGCTGCTTAAATTACTCTTAAATTCAGACAATTTATAGTGGATGTATTGCACTGTTATAAGTGTAATGAATCGGTATCTCCAAGATTTTGTGCAAATAATAGTTGTATTTTGTATTGTTCACAGGAGATGCTGGAGAGGACATATGTGGGGCTGACTAAGCAGCGTCTCAGAGTGCTCAACTCCCTGGGAGATCGCATCCGAGAGACAGCAACAGCTCAGAAGAATCTGGAAGAGCGACTCTCTCGAATCCAGAAGCAAGTTCTGGAGGTGGAAGACACCCTTCGCAAGTTAGAGCAGTCCATGGACAGGAAGATCCCTTCTATGGAACTTGCCTCCAGCAGGTATAAGACTGCTAACCATCTCATTTTACTATGTCTCGTATTGTGCATTTCATAGGATTTAAGAGCTATTTTGTGTGGTATATTAGCGTTCTTAAATATGCTACAAATATCTCAAAAAATTGAAGTCTGCTTTTCACAGTTGATGGCAATGTAAAGGGGAGAAAAACACAGCTTTGAGCTTGCATTTGCTTAGATTTATCAAATTCTAAGAAAAAGGGTTTAAAAAAAATAATGGCTCAGGAGTCTGACAAATCTATTTATAGGATCCTTTTTTGAATTATATTTTGGGAAAATATATGCTTAGTTCATAAGTGCTTTCAATGAAGTACTTTTAGTCTATAACTTGGATCCGCAATGAAAGCTGTGATTCAGCGCTTTTATAATTTCTATTTCAGACTACTTCATTTTCTTTGGCACCGAATAAGTTACTGGAATAGATGCCTGACAGAAAACTGAACACACTATCTCCTAACATGCTTTTTTTTAAAATCCATTTTCTCATCAAAATTCTAGGTTTGTGTACTGCATTAACTACTCGCTATTCTGTATACAAACAAATGAGCTTTAAATAAGTGCCAATTTTTTTTTCAAAATGACGCTATAGATTTCCTTGGCCTTGCCATTGAAGGAGATAAGTTCTGAATTCGAGTTTTTTATTAAAACAATTAATTTGATAAGCATTTCTATACCCTTATCAATATGGGTTTCTTGGATTTTTTCCCTCCTTAAAATACGATATTTTCTCATGATAATTCCTTTTAAGTAACGATCACCTTTTATTATTATTAAAACTTGAAATACTACTACTTTAGAGGCGTCTTAATGGAAACTTCAGCTGTGAAAGCATATCACGGAGAAAAAATTTGAGATGGAAGAACGTCTTGATTTAGCAAACTCAGTTGAAACATGAATCTTAGCAAATAATTTTTATGAGTTTCAATTATTTGAATGAGATTTAATGTTATTTTTCTTGTCTTGATTGAAATATAGATCTGGATTGAGATCTTTTACTTTCTTATAAATATTTTTTCACGTCCTTCTTTATCTGTTGTTGAGCTTCTTTCTAGTAATTTTGATTTGAATATTTTTAGTTTAGTGCACAAAACAGTTTATAGCATTTGCTTTCATGACAAAGTCCTTTCACTTACAAGAAAGACGTTACATCAAAATGTTTCTTTTCTAAAGAATCATAGTTTAAATGGAGTATTATCTATTTTAGTCTTAATATATATCTCAGAAAGATTGTTAAATTAGTTTTTTTAAGAGTAATGTGGACTAAATTATGAATAAAGCAACTTATCAGAAACTATATAACTATCACAAACAATCTGAGACAAAGCGATGGGCTGGCTTGCCTTCTCTTAAATCTAGCATTAGAAAAAAGTTCGAGATGCAAGCACAAAGAATAAAAAAACAGTCGAAACGAAGAGCAAACAAAACAACAGACAGAAAAAGGTGGAACAAGCTACAAAACTTCTCAATACAGTTCTATTTAATATACTGTGCCATATTAAAATTTCGCTAAATTACTAGATTAAAAAATATATAGCAGCTATGATAATTGAGGGTAATAAACTAAGAAATGATTTGGAAATTTTTTTTTTTAATTATTAATGAATTAGTTGTCAGTAGACTAAATTTTTTTTTGATAGAAAATAGAAAAATTGCTATGACTATTGATTTACATTGATTTTAAACTATTGATTACTAAACATTGATTTTTGTGAATAAAATTTTACCATCTCAATGGAAAAGGTTTATTAATCAATGAAAATTATGTCTCGTTCGAAAAAAAAACTGGTTAATCACTTCATACTAAGGCTCCTATAATATGAGAGCTGAACTATCAACTATGTTGGAAAGCAAGTTCGCAAATTAACGTGATGTTAGTATTAGCATGAGGGTTTGAAGACTATTTGGATACCTAAAATTATTGATATGGAAGGTTGTGCGGCAGTAAATTGCACAAATAGTAAAAAAAAAGGCTTTCGTATGTTCAGATTTCCTTCAAATGTGAAAAGAACAAAGAAATGGATTATAAATTGCCGAAGATACAACAGGCAGCCTGGAAATGGAGCTCGCTTATGTTAGGTAAATACTAATTTATTTATAATTTATTAGATTTATTTACTTATATCTATATATATAAAAATCTCTTGTCATAGTTTTAGTGTTTGAACTCCTCCGAAACGGCATGATCGATTTTGATGAAACTTTATATGTATATTCAGTAGGTCTGAGAATAGGTTTATAACTATTTTTTTTTTCATTTTTTTGGACAGATTTAGCGTGTATTTTAAATATATCTTTATTTAATCGTATTTGGATCCAAACTAGACATATAAACATAATAAATCAAAAATAATATTCACGCACGTTGCAACAAGTCATATTAAACTCGTATGCACGCCCTTAAAAGAAGAGCATCAAATATATTTAAAAGTATGTGAATAAAGGCAGTGATATAGCGGTATTTCGAGTTGAAAATACCAATGTGACTGCTCTTCCAGTGAATAACAACGACGAAATAACGCCGTACCAAGTAGGCCAGTACATCAGCTCCAATGAAGCTGTTTGGCGTATCTTTGGTTTCCCAATTCATGAACGGGATCCAACAGTTATTCATTTAGCCATTCATCTTGAAAACTGTCAGAGCGTATATTTCACGAACGAGACAGTGATTGACCGAGCTATAAATCCACCAAAAACTACACTCGCCAAATTCTTTGAATTAGGTAATTGTACGGATTCTTTTGGTACCTTTGCACGGACATTACTCTACTCAGAAGTACCACCCTATTTCACATGGGTTCAAAAAAATGGACACCCCGCAAGCAAAGCACACCGGTTGATGTATGTCCCGGTTTATTCAAATCAAACGCCTTGGGGAGACTATTTACAGTCAATCCAAGGCAGACTGGGTGCTTTTATTTTCCACTGTTGTTGGTTAATGTCACCGGCTCATTGTCATTTCAAGATATACGTAAAGTCAATGGACATCAGTATCCAACGTATAAAGATGCATGCTTTGCACTCGGCTTGCTGGAAGACGACAACCAGTGGGAATGTATGCTTGCTGAAGCAGCATTGAACTGTACTGCAAAGCAAAATCGTCAACTATTTGCTATAGTATTAACTACATGTTTCCCGGCCCATATAGATACGTTATGGGATAATCACAAAGATTCGATGACTGATGATATACGGTATCAACATCGCACACGTTGCAACGATCTAACGAGAGCATTCAGCGATGCTATGTAAAATGAAGCACTGATTGCTATTGAGGATCTTTGAATTATTATTGCCAACTTACCACTCAGTCATTTCGGTATGCCTTCGCCAAATCGAAGTGCATCTGATTTATTAAACATTGACATAAATCGTGAACTTCAATACAATACGATAGAAATGGCAGCGATTGTTACTCGCAATGTTCCACTAATGAATGAGGAACAAAGGAACATTTATGCCCGCATTATGCTCGCAGTTTCGGCAGGACAAGGTGGATTTTTTTTCCTTATGCATCAGGTGGAACTGGCAAAACGTTAATTATTTCACTAATTTTCGGTGAAATACGATCAAATAATGGCATCGCGTTGGCGTTGCATCATCTGGCATTGCGACAACTTTATTGGATGGAGACAGAACAGCTCATTCAGTATTTAAGCTGCCACTAAATATTCAAAACAACCCAGATGCAGTGTGCAACATAAAAAATATTTTGTCTATGGCCACAGTGTTGAAACACTGTAAAATTATCATCTGGGATGAATGCACTATGGCACACAAACATTCGCTTGAGGCGTTGAACAGGACATTGAAAGATATAAAAAAACAATGACAAATTATTTGACGGCACCCTGTTACTCCTTTCAGGTGATTTCAGACAAACACTTCCCGTCATTCCGCATTCAATGTACGCTGATGAGATCAATGCTTGCTTGAAATCATCTGCACTGTGGCGTAATGCTGAAAAAGTTCAACTAAAAGTAAATATGCGAGTCCAAATGCTTCAGGATCCATCTGCTGAAACATTCTCAAAACAATTGTCAGACATCGGTGATGGAAAAGTTACTAAGGATGAGACTGGATGCCTAAAATTACCGAACGATTTCTGCACAATCATTGATTCACAAGGATGCTCTTATTAGCCTAATATTTCCCGACGTACACACGCAATACATTCATTATGAGTGGCTGGCAGAAAGGGCGATCTTAGCAGCAAAAAATATAGACATAAACGAATTGAATCTGTAGATAAAACAGTTATTGCCAGGTAACTTGGTGACATATAAATCCGTTGATGCAGTTTGCGATCCCATTGAAGCTGCAAATTTTCCAACAGAGTTTTTAAACTCATTGGATTTACCTGGCATATCACCGCATAATTTAGTACTCAAAGTTGGATCTCCGGTTATTTTGCTTCGTAATTTGAACCCAAAACGCAGTGCAACGGCACGCGATTAGTCGTTAAAAATTAATGAACAACGTCATCGAAGTCATTATTTTAAATGACAAATTCCGGGATGAAAGTATATTACTTCCACGAATCCCTATTATACCCACAGATGTGCCAATTCAATTTAAACGCATTCAGTTCCACATTAGATTGGCATTTACAATAACAAGGCCAAACAATGTCTGTTTGTGTCTCAGATTTGAGCACACCATGTTTTTCACACAGACAATTATACGTGGCATGCTCTCGAGTGGGCAAACCATTCAGTTTATTTGTGTTAGCTAAAGATGGAATGACAAAAAATATTGTACACTCCATTGCACTAAGAGATTAATATTGTCGACTAATAATTTCAGAACTCGTTGTATATATAATTCATAAAGAGAAGTTACAATAAATTAAAAAAATTATTATTTGGTGTGTTGTTATTTTCACATTCCGTCATCGTTCACAGCGCTCCATGCCTCTTCCACTCATATACCACATACGCACACATTTACAATAAATAAGATATATTTTCATACTCTAGAAATAATTC